GCGTGAAATTAAGGGTATCAGTTCAATTAATGCGTTTAGCAAACTAAGCGTACGCTTTGTAGCTTGGTGCTTCACGGACTGTTGAGAGTAAAGCGCAACTGGTAGTTGCTCTACATATAACAAACGAACAAGCGGCCGCCCGTAAATGCGCAAAAATGCGAAAAAGAAACCGAGTTAATTTTATTAAAAGCGCGATTAATCTTGCCACGGCCAAAACTGGTATAAACATGCGAGCGAGCTAAAGAGGATGTAAACACGTGCGGATTCCGTAGATAGCTGCTGGTAGCCGATCGCTTTCCGTGCCGTTAATGCACGTGTGTGTTTATTCCAACGAATACAGACAACATTTCAACAAACGAGCCGTTTACTTCCCTAGTTACATGATAGTACTATAATTTTATCCCACTTTCCGGAACAATCCGTAGCCAAACGGGAGAACTCTCCAGGTAAATGCAAATATGTTTTCCTTATTTTTCGAGGTGTTTTACTCTCATAAGCGGAGGGTTTATTAGACTAGCCAATTCTTCCCGTGCGACATTATTACCATTCCTTCAACTGGTGAACCCTTGTTAAAGTCTTGCTTCGGGAGTCATTCATAATTCATTTAACCCCCTTGTTGCTTGTTTCCCATTTTTAATTATACCAATCGGTGTTCCTCCGTAATACTCATATGTTATATGTTCGAGTCCATGCTTCTACTGTCTTACTGTAAAATACTTTCCGCCAGTTCGGTTAAAACTTTTTGGTTTTATTTGCCGTGATTCTTTCCGCCTTCTGTTGCTCTGTCACTGACATGCTCGGGAAAATCTGTTACAGCCAATCCAAGCGATGCTTCATTTCTTTCGGCTATCCAACTTACAAACTTGGAATACATTGGTGTCTCAATCCAAGTGTACTGGTTATATTGTATACTAATGTAGAGGGATGCATGCTTCTGCTTGCTCATGGAATCTCATATTGGGGATCCAACCATCGGGCTAGAGTTGTTGGCACCATTTGTGACTGCCGCGGAAAATAGCCTAGAGGGCTTGTTCAGTTGGTTTTTCTAGACATATGTACCACCCTTCCTAGTCATATTACTCTGTGTGCATTCGGTAAGACTTCATTGACTTCTAAAACTTCTACGCACTTAATATGATGAAACGTCAAATACCGTATCTGAAAGCATATGGATAGTTTGCAGCTGATGCCCCGTTATAGACCGTAGTCCGAAGATATCGTTCAATTCACCTAAGTTGACAGCTGCATCGTCAACGATGGGCGCATAATAATTGAAGTCAGTTCACGCATTGCAAAAGCTAGAATCGCGTTTTCGAATTTACGATATGCGTGTCATCAAAAGGGAGTTACCCACTGTCTAAAAGGCCGTGTATGCAAGGTCACTGTGAGGGCCGTCCTACTCTATGTTAGTGAGACTTGGTCCTTCCGATCTGAGGACCTGCGGCGCCTTTAACCCTTTGATCATCGTTGTCTGCGAAGTATTACTGGTGTAGGATGGCATCAGTGTGTCCTCAACGATGATGTGCGTAAGTGAGTAGTAGGCAGAGATAATCAGGCTAGTTCCTTAGAACAACTGATAGCGCTGAATAGGTTGAGTTGGCTTGGGCATATACTACATTTGCCTGGTCACCGCTCATCGAGGAGATTCGTGTTTTGCTTACCAGATGTAAAGTGGCGCAAGGCTCGGGGTGGATAAAATCAATTTGGCAGCGGGAGATGAACTTACTGACGACTCAACTCAGTGCCATTTTTCGTCTTGCCTCCCAGGCTCGAGTTCACGTGACCCGTTTGTGCTTAGGTTGAGATGCTATAGGACATGGCTCGCAGTGGACACCAATTGCGTGCCTGCTGTGGTCTCCTAGTCGGACTGTTTGTTTAAAGTGCGTTTAGTGTTGGGTTATCTACTGGGTAAGGGCTGATTATGACACGGGGCAGTGAAAACCACAAGGAAGCTGTCTAGCTGACACCTCTTAATCTTTGCACGATAGCCAACTGTTTGTGATATTATGTTGTTGACAAGATGTGGACGTCTTGCTCCGGCGTGTTTAGCGTATTACGGTTTTCCGGTAAATCCCTCTTTTCTCCCTTTTATTATTCTGCGTTCCGTAGGTCGTTGTGGTTGTACGGCAACGAAGCATCATTTCAACTGGCTGTTGTACTGCTGTTAATGATGTGTTTGATGATATTGAACGACCGTCCGTCTCTCATCAAGTGTGTTTGCTAGCCTCCCATATTTGATGCAGAAAACACCGGATAGGTACTGCTGATACCAGTAATTGTGCGTTTGACATCAGCACCGAAATGACTGCTGCGCCTCAGCTACCTGCACTAGCAGTACACTTTCTTGCGCTCAATGGCTGCCCTCTGGTGTTATCCGCTACCACCAACGGTGGTAGGGCTGTCAGGTGATAACTAAAATACAGGGAGTAACTGAATGAAGAGCTGTGTTGAATTGTGACACCTAGAATCACTAAGTAAAATAAACTTCACAATACAGGTGCCCACCATCAGCGACCTGCCGACGAGTAAGTTGCATTATGTCAGACGGTTAAGTATTTTGCGCAGGTGCGTTTCTGATCGATATTTTCGTCTGTCGATTCCGTTTGTTTCCTTTCTCCGCTGGTTCAGTCTCTGTTATCACAGCGTCATAGATCAAAGTAAATGTGTCCATTTCCAATCTGGGCCACAACTCACTTTGTGATCTCTTTGATTGGATCTCGGTTGTTGCATCAAAATTAGAATCTGGCTTCACTGTCACACAAGTGGCTTTAACTAACTTTGGGAGATTTAGGATAATAACCATTTTTGTATGGATTTGTAATTTAGCAGAATTAGAATACTCACATCGTCGTGCTAAAATTATGTCAAAATGCGTACAAAAGTTACTTGAAATGACAGCTGTCCCTCAGATCATTCGATGAGGAAACTCTGCTTAGTACTCACCACTGTCATGAGGATTGCATCTCAATGGAACAGGGGACAATGGCAATAGTACGGGCAATAACAAACAAAGCTTGACATCTCCCCTTGGATGGAGTGTGCGGAAAACATTAGTGTAGAAATATTTGACAGTAAATTGAAACACGCACCTGTGGGTGCACCATAATATCCACGTTGACACACAAGCATGTACGTTTACTTCGACATCGTGGTGTTGGTGAACACAATGTTTGTCTGTGCGTTGTCTTCATTCGACTAGCCATAAGGTAACTTATACCATGCATGGTTGAGCCATTAAAAGTAGGGTAACTTGTGCTCAGGAATGGCGAAAGTCAGAAGAGAGTTCCACGGGTGGCACATCTGAATAAAAATTATAATTCTAGCCGACTGTGTTGAGTGAGCAGTTTCAGTTGGTGGCCCTTCAGTTTTATGTTACGGTTAAGTTTAAGTATGTGGCGGCAGACGTAACTGAGGTTTTTCAATATCTGCCAGGCCAGGATGAGGTCATCTCGTAGACGGCGATAACTCCCGCTATAAAATTCTTGGGATCCTAGTTGCAGCCTATTTGGCACGTGTAATAAGTACACCAAAGTTTTGCTTACCATTCGTTTCATGGTGTCCAGCAAAGCTAAAATCCGTTTTAGCCGGGGTTGTTTGGTCCGAAACGCGTACTTTATATGACGTCATACATATGCGATGGTAATTTGGGGAAGGTGAGAGTGTCAAACCGCCCGGACGCCCTCCGTAAGAGTCTAGTATGTTGGTTCGCAGTTTTTGGCACCTTTAAGGACTGCTCCGGAAAGCTGAGATCGTTTTGCATCAACATCTTTAGGTTGCCGTCGTGGGAGGCCGTTTACAAAATGTGTTATCCAAACTTAAATGCGTTAGTGAACTTCTGATTTACATGAACAGTTTTGCACTCGTCTGAGTTAAACATAATTAGGTATACTTTTGGGCATTGAAACCACGGTTTATGTTTCGTTGCAGCTGGTCTTGCTTCTCTTGACTTCGGATCACCCGCCATATCTTAATGTGACAGGCAACCAAGGAAATTCGACACTATAACAAACGCAAGATGGTTGATGAAGACACAGAATAAGCGTGGCCCTAACATTGATTCATGTGGAACACCGCAATCAACACCAATGGGATCAGAAAATGGGACTCGAACCCAAAACTGAAGTCGCCGCTGGAGGAGGAATTTTATAATCTATCCAAGTAAATGGGTCCCAACTTCGTACGTTTGAAGTATTTGGGGACGTTTGCGGTGATCTAATCAATCGAATGTTTATAAAATTTAAAGTAGCTGACTTCAGCGTCTGTCGCAGTATCCACTGTTTCGATCCGACTGCCAAGCGCATTCAGTAAGATGGTGATAAATGGCTGATGCTGACGGAATCCGTGTTGATCCGGAGCCGTGAGGTTAGATCTTGTTAAGTAGTCTATTAGTGCCTCAGTTATGATCGACCACATCACCTTTGAGAGCACTAGTATGAGAATCGCTTTGTGATAGTTGACGGGTTTCGAACGGCTAGCACCGTGGCAAATTGTGGTAATGATACTTTGCTTCCCCACGCCAGACACCTACTGTCATCTGGCATCTTTGACAAAAACGGTTTCATGGCTCAGTTGTTCTCGTAACTGCCCCCCTGCAGTGCTTTTGGGTGAATGTTGTCAACACCTGGGGAACTATGGGTGCGCAGCGATATCAACTTTCTCAAAAACTCATTGGACTAAATGTGATATGTTTAAATGTCTGGGAGAGTGGGACTGGTATGACATGCTAGTGAAGCATCGGAATATGAAAGTAGAATTGACCCGTAGAGCTTTGACTACAGTCTAAGTACATCCGTTTGCTGAGATGGGTGGGGAAACACTAAACTTCCCTTTCCGGAAACTGTTCACATGTCTGTACAGAAGCTTGTAGTTAGCACAAAACTTATCAGTTAGGCGCTTTTGGTGAGCCAATTTGTTCTCTAGGGAACATAGTTGATCTAGCTAGGTGTTAGATGTTGCCCACCCGAAAACATTGCACACAGGACGCGTTTCTATTACATTTGATCTCGTCAGGCAGTGATAGCAGGCATCGAACCCGGGACCACTAGAATATTAATTGGAACCTGTGTCCGTACGGCCAGCGGGTTTGCATTGAGATAGCTCATTGCAGTGCAGTCACACAGCGAGCGCCACAAATGACACTTCAGTTAGTTATACCAGTTGTCAGGTCTAAGGTTTGCAAAGTACGTGCGCCAAGTTGCGTCTCTTACCGCCATGCGTTTTCGGGTTTTGCTACAAATAAATGATGAAGCTGTTTTAAAGGAAGGGGGCTTTTCCGTTGTGGATACGATCAAATCAGTGAACTTGCCAGCAAAATCCATCGAGGCAATATCAAAGGCACATTCACCCAAAAGTCAGGTGGATTCTCCGACGACTTCTGTTAGCATGTCGTGGTGTGTTGTTGTTCGAAACAAGTCACTATGTTGTGGATATTTCGCACAACACGCCTAGTCGTGAAGTATTGTTACGTGCTCACTTAACTACAGATGACTGTCTATCGTTGGCTTTTACATCATGAGCTCTTCGTTCGCTAGCACTAAATCAAAAACCGATGGTTTATTTCCTGCTCTGTTTTGGTTGGACGAGCTGATATGGCTTCCAATAAACGCTTGAATGTCGGCCTTGAATTGTTCCCTTAGGGATGCCTGAACTTCCAGATCGTAATCATTGGAATAATCCAGATGGTAACATGGCCATATCGTTGTAGCAAGACTTTCCCAAAGGCTAATGTCAGGTTGGAGTCTATCCCTTGGTGGACTTTCAGGGACAATAAATAACTACCACAAGTCAAATGTCATTGCGTCTCTCACGGAATGCGCCAGAATGACTCTATGTTGAGTATTTCTGGATCGTTCACTTGTTTGCAATACAGGGCACTGTGGTGATATAAAAGTATCCGATTGCCCTAGCTGGGGCGATCGATTCGAAGAGACATATCACACATCGCGACTTTCTCATCAGTAATTTTTGAGTGCAGCCAGCTTTTCGTTACGAATATGCGGTCCCAAGTATTTGATATTTGATGTAACCGCATTTCAGTGAGGTTTTCGGG